GTGTATAAGTGAAGGTAGTGGTTTTGGTCATAGTTCGGTGGTCATGTACTGCTTTATTAGGTGCTTTCCTTTAAAAAATATTTTTATTGATTTTTTTAGAGCAAGGAAGGGAGAGGGAGAGAGATAGAAACGTCCATGAGAGAGACTCATCCATCAGTTGCCTCCTGCACGCCCCCTACCTGCAACCGAGGTCCATGCCCTTGACCTGAATCGAACCTGGTACCCTTCAGTCTGCAGGCTGACGCTCTCTCCACTGAGCCACAACAGCTAGGGCTGTGTGCTTTCCTTTGCTACTAGAAGAAAGTTTCTAACCACCAAGCACATGACAGTACAGCATGTAGGTGTATATCTTTTGCTTTAATTTACATAGTTGCTATACATATAGACTTGATTACCTATCTTCTTTTTTTTAACTAAATCTTTATTGTTCAGATTATTACATTGGTTCCTCTTTTTTCCCACCATAACTCCCCTCCACCCAGTTCCCACCCCACCCTCTGCCCTCACTCCCCACCTACTGTTCTAATCCATAGGTGCACGATTATTGTCCAATCTCTTCCCTCCCCCCCATACCCCTCCCCGCCCCAAGAATAGTCAGTCCATTCCCTTTCTATGCCCCTGATTCTATTACAATCACCAGTTCATACTGTTCATCAGATTATTCATTCACTTGATTTTTAGGTTCACTTGTTGATAGATGTGTATTTGTTGTTCATAATTTGTATCTTTACCTTTTTCTTCTTCTTCCTCTTCTTAAAGGATACCTTTCAGCATTTCATATAATACTGGTTTGGTGGTGATGAACTCCTTTAGCTTTTCCTTATCTGTGAAGCTCTTTATCTGACCTTCACTTCTGAATGCTAGCTTTGCTGGATAGAGTAGTCTCGGTTGTAGGTTCTTGGTATTCATCACTTTGAATATTTCTTGCCACTCCCTTCTGGCCTGCAAAGTTTCTGTTGAGAAATCAGCTGACATTCGTATGGGTACTCCCTTGTAGGTAACTGATTTTCTTTCTCTTGCTGCTTTTAGGATTCTCTCTTTGTCTTTTGCTCTTGGCATTTTAATTATGATGTGTCTTGGTGTGGTCCTCTTTGGATTCCTTTTGTTTGGGGTTCTCTGCGCTTCCTGGACTTGGAAGTCTATTTCTTTCACCAGGTAGGGGAAGTTTTCTGTCATTATTTCTTCAAGTAGGTTTTCAATATCTTGCTCTCTCTCTTCTTCTGGCACCCCTATAATTCGGATGTTGGTACGCTTGAAGCTGTCCCAGAGCTCCTTACACTATCTTGGTATTTTTGGATTCTTTTTTCATGTTGCTTTTCTGGTTGGGTGTTTTTTGCTTCTTTGTATTTCAAATCTTTGACTTGATTCTTGCGATCCTCTGGTCTGCTGTTGGGAGTCTGTATAATATTCTTTATTTCAGTCAGTGTATGCTTAATTTCTAGTTGGTTCTTTATCACAACATCGAGGGTTTCACTAGATTTCTTGAGGATCTCACTACATTTATCGGCGGTCTCACCAGTCTTTTCGAGGGCCTTACTAAATTTATCGGCGGCTTCTAGACAGTTCTTTAAAGACCTTAAAAGTGTGATTTTTGAACTCTATATCTAGCAGTTTGCTCTCCTCCATTTCTGTCGTTTGTGTCCTGTTTCTTTGTCTCGGCATTTTTTATGCTTCGCTGTGTCGATAGAGTGCCTTTCTGTGCTAAGTGTCCCAATTACCTGAGGTAGACACTCTTGGTGCACCCCCTTGTGGGCTTTGTGCACAGTCTTGTTGTAATTAAGCCTTGATTGTTGTAGTTATCACTGGGAGGAATTGACCTCCAGGCCAATTGGCTGTGAGAATCAGCTGTGTCTGCAGTGGGAGAACTTCTGTGCTGGAGACACCCTTCTGGGGCAAGACTTGCTTCAATAGGGCTTTGGTGCTCACTGAGTCTGCCCCCTGAGTGTGTCTTTTATGGTTCCACGGAGCTGCAAACTGGATGGTCCCACTCTGACCTCTGGGCTTCCTGGCTCCTGGATCTCTAGGGAGGTGCTAATCTAGCTTTTGCCTGCAGCTATCCAGCAAAAGTCTCCCTGCAGGGCTTGGGAGGGGCGGGTCCCACGGGATCAATAGGGCGGGGCTAGCAATTATGGCTGCTCTCAGTCTTGCCCTCAGAGGCTCTACTTCTCAGTGTCCGGGTAATCGCTGCAAGCCCCTTGGAGAGAAAGCTGCCCTCGGGTTCTGACCGATGCCAGACAGTCCCGATTCTCCCGTATGAGTCTGGGTCCCTAGAGACCCGCCGGGAACTGGAGCTCAGAGCCTGGGACTCCCTCCCGATTGAAAACGACAACCGCACCCTCAGCCGCCAGCCAGCTCCGCATGCACTCGCACCTTAGTATTTTACTTCTGTACTGCGCCTTCTCTGAGTCTCGGTATGCTTTTCTCTTTCCTTCTAGTTGTAGAATTTCAACTCAGCCAACATTCCTGTGGTTCTGGATGATGTCCATTCCATCTTTTAGTTGTATTTTTGAAGTGGTTGTGCCAGGAAACAACCTCTGGTGTTTACCTATGCTGCCATCTTGGTTTCCACCTATCTTCTTATTTAAGTATCTTAGAACATGAGTTCTTTCTGTGGAGGCTTGAAAACATTTTTCATAAAGAGATTTGTTGATGTAAAAGGATTTAGAGTACAAAGATTCTAATGTTTATACCTCAATTAAAATACCATCAATGGCAATGAAAGAAGTTTCTTTAAACATAAGGCTCTCAGATAGTCTTTATTATATTTCTTTACACGTTGCTGAATAATATTTAAAGGTAAACCAGATACTCAGAAAATTCCAACTAAACAGACATAATTAGTGAAGAATTGCCACTTAAGCTTAAAATTACAAAAAAAGACTCCATGTGACCAACTCCTTACACGATGAGCTGTAACTTTTAAAAGCACATATTGTGTGTAAACTGGCTTCAGAACGAAAGTCCAAGTGCTGAGGACATGGTGCATTGAACACGCATTTACTCTGTTTCTAGAAAAGAGTCAGTTTTCGTTTTAGGGGTGCAGACACGGTCCCCCTGCCCCTCTTTCCTCTCAGTGAGGACCCTGCTTCCCCCCAAAAAAGAAGTAGAGGCCCTGGCTCCTGGGCTGGGAAGTACATTCCCAAGTACTCACATGGGAATCTCTGGAGGAAGTTTCTGGAAAGGTTGTTTCAAAGCGAAGTGGAGGTGACTCTGTCTTCCTTGCAGGACTTGCAATGAGGATCTGCCTTTTGCGCTTCTTCTTTTAAGCAGATCAGGAAGGTGGTGGGGGGAGGTGTCTCGTGTGGGGTCTGGAGGCCTGCAAAGGGCAGGCAACGTGATCCTGAGCAGGGCAGGTGTGGTCAGGGTTACTCCCTCTGTGACCGGGCAGGAAGCCTCGGGGCTCTCAGACATCACACACCCCAGGTGACAGGCACTGCCACTTCCTGTCTTGGTCTCCCCAACCCCGTTAGGATCCTTCACCAGCCCCCCAAAACCTTTTCTGATCGGGGGAGCCACCAGAGGAAGTAGCTGTGATGTCCGAGGACTGTTTGAGCAGCTGCTGCGTTTGCTTTCCAGGATTTTTGGAAATCAGAGAAAAGCACTCACACAGAACTTGTTTTTCCAGTTACATGTTTAAAAATCACCATGTATTTCCTACGACATTGTTACTGCATACAATACATTTTTTTGCAGTTTTTTATCTTTTCCAAGTTATTCCACCCCTATCTCCAGTTCTCTGTGAACACCTCTGCGGGCTGTTGCTCTCTGCTGAGGGAAGCACCATCTTGCGTTGTCGGAGGCAGGATGTCAGGCAGGGCCCTGCCTCCCTTCGCGGCCACCTCCGCACCGCAGTCAGGTGTTCAACCTCCGCGTCTCAGTCGCTGTTTCTCCAACTCGTGATGGTGAAAGCTCCTGGTTTGATGTAAGTAGTGAATGGAATGATACTGGAAGCCTGTGTATACATCGACCTCTATATGCAACACTTAAGACAGGCTCCCAACACAGCAAACCTTCAATGCATGCTCTCACGTGCATTGCTATTGCTCATGTTATAATTATCCTTTTACACGGTGTGTGACTATTGAAAGCTGTCACTCAGCATTGCCCTGTGTAGGTTGCTATGTTGCAGTTAACCTTTAGTATTTCCTATGGAATTATGGTCCCATCAGACTGAGATCACTAAAGATCGCAAGATCTACTTTGCCAAGAAGGTTGAAGTCATTTGATGAGAGAAATCCATTAGTTTCCCATTTTTTCCACCTCGGATTCTCTTTGTGACTTCAACGTTTCTTCTGTCCTCTGACTTCTGCCTTTCCTCCTGTAGGTCTTTAATATTTACTGAGGAATTAGGAGGTGCCTGGCACCGAAACGGTCTCATGTAGCTCTCACAGCTCCCTAGGAGGAAGGTCGCCTCTGTCCCCCATCCGATGGGTGGAGGGGGGATGAGTGAGGTGTGAGGAGCTGTGGTTTGGGTGAGGAGATGCTCACTCCTCTGTGCTTCTTTCCACCACCTGCTGCATTCCATGCCCTCTGAGCAACCGCGCCTGCTGCACAACTCCTGCCCCCCGCCCCGCAGCTCAGCACCCCCCACCCCCCCCAGCTCAGCCCGCCAACGCAGCTCAGCACCACCCCCTGCAGCTCAGCACCCCCACTGTCCCTTCTTGCTCAGAGGGTGGAAGGGGTGACCTGGCATTGATTACATCTGCTCAGGGAGAAGGAAGCTTAGCCAATCAGATTCCTCCTTGGGAACTTGAACTAAGACTCTAGAAAACAGCACATGGTCAATGCTGGCTTTTAATTGAAAAGCTGAGAGAGAGGGCTGGCAGCCACGATACTGTGTGCAGGACGCTTACGTGGAGAGAGAGGAAATGAATACCTGAGAGGCAATGGCCCTGGGAAGGAAGGAAGGAAAGAACAGAAGCCAGGACCAGGCGGAGAGCAGGAGCCACAAGATATCTGAGCCGCAGGGACATCCTTCCTCGGGCCCCAGTCAGTCTCGCCTACTTCCAAGGACCCACACCCTTGTACAGGCCCCGATTTCCCCGAAGTCTCTTAAGAAATCGTGTTTCTTGTTCGGCAAAGAGCCCTGCGGAGGAGCCGCAGCTACTCCCACCGATGGCTGACTTCATCCAGAAGCCGCGCTGGGCATCAGTGAGCACCGCGCACCCCGCGTTCCCATGCCACGCACACGCAGGGGCTTCCGCTGGCGGGAACATGGGATGCACAGTAACTGTGTTAGGACCGCCCGGCCCTCACTCACTTGCGGGCTCTGTGCGCTCAGATCTCCTCTCCCCCAGGCTAAGGGGGCTCCTGTTTGAGGGACCCCTCGTAGCCATTCCATCCTGTGCAACTAGCGTCTTTGTATGAATCAGTGGCTGCTCCATGTGCTCTCCTTGCCACTCATCACCGGTCTGTTCCTTCTCCCTCCAGCTCTCACACAATTGGAATGACATGCCGGACTCTAAATAGGAATTTAATTTATTTCTTGTCCAAGAAAATAGCAATGGCATTTCTTTTCTTTACTTGCCTTATGTATCAGGAAGCATTTCTTAATTTCATTCACTGGGAATCTTGTCTATTCAAATCTATCGACTGTTTCAACAAGGCCAGGTGACAGAGCTGCTAAGAATGGCGTTGTGAGAAGAAGGGGTGCTTTGCGGCAGGCCAGAGGACCCCCCAGCCAGGAAGGCCATGAAAAACCAAGTTACACAGACGTTTCGATAAACATCAGACCAAAGCTGAGTGTTTCTCTCCATGCGTTCCCGTCTGCTCCCAGAACGGGAGGTGCCATTACTTCCCATTCCCACCAACAGCCTCTCACACGGAGCGGCCTGAGCTTCGCTCTCTGTCCCTTGTCATCCTCTTATCTGGAATCTAAAGGACCTACTGCTGTGGCCAGCGTGTCCCTAAGCAGATTTCTGAGAACCGATAACAAATGGCAGCCTTTCACCTGTCTGGATTCCAGACATGAAGAACCAAATTGGCCTTTAGGTTTTATCAAGCTGCATCTCTGGAAACTCAGGGGATAGGCCTGACCCACACACCTGGGTGCACAATTCCCTCTGGACTTACTTCCTCATCAACAGAATGAACTTATCTTTCCAAGCCCCCGTGTGTGGAAAAGGCAACCTTTCCAGTCTAGCCTCCTCTACTGCGGACTACGGTGCTCGCTGAAGTCCAGTCACTTTCAGGGACACCCGGCCACTCAGCCGGCCACATCCTCACTCTGTCCCTCTCCCCAGGACACCTGGTCCCTCGGAAGAGCTTGGGCCAGGCCTCTGGCCAGCACACTGCCCCTCGCCCAACCGTTGTCTGCTGAGAGCCCCTCGGCCTGCTGTGGGCACGACAGTCTGGCCAAGATTCTGGAATTAAAAATAGGTTCTTGCTTTAGACCCCAGTTCTTGCCAATTTAAAGCCATATCTTTGGCTAATATCTTCTATCCTGTGGGTTGAAGCATCCATTCAGCCAGTTGAATGAAACCTCTGCTCTTTGCTCTTAGCGCTGTCTGCCCAGGGCAAAGAGCAAGGACAAAAATAGATGGAAAAACACATACCACAGAGCTGTCAACCAAATCCTGCCAGGCCAGTCCTGTTGCCTCATTTTAGCCAAATGTAGGATCGTCCTCGGTTCCCACCAGGGCAGAGGCCTCTCCGCAGGGCTCAGTGTGGGTTGGAAGGCAGGGCATGGGGTTGACTGGCTACGTGGGGAGCTTTCTTTAACCATCAAGTAGCTCAATCTCCTGAATTTCTAATACGTATCTCCAATGGCAATCTCTCTGATAAGGAGGCGGGAGGGTTGGTTTGTGTGTCAGGGAGGAAAACATCTGTTGCTCCTTCCCCATTCCTCCCGGAGCCCGGAGCCTGGAGCCCTGTCATCTTATTCCTGGAACGTGTGGTCCTCCCTCGGCCTCCTTTTCTGTCCCTTGACATCCTTTCATCTGGAATCTAAACGGCCTACTGCTGTGGCCAGCGTGTCCCTAAGCAGATTTCTGAGAACCGATAACAAATGGCAGGGTTTCCCACTGCCTCTGCCAGGGGCCTGGCGGGCCCCACGGAGGGTGGTTCCGTCAAACAGACTCCCAGTGAGGGGGAAAGGAGCAGCGGCACAGGTTCCCCACAGGAGGAGCGAGTAGGCCCTCATCGGGGAACCCTGCAGCCTGTGGAGGTGGTTTGAGATCAGGCACAACCCAGACAGAGATGAGTGACATACTCCCTCCTCCTCCCCCGGGAGACAGCTCACCTTGGCCACATCTGCCTTAGGACCTCATCTGGCTCTGGACACCAGACACCCTCGGCCTCACCCCCGGGCCCCAGGGCCCCCTCTTCCTCTCCTCCCTCTGCACTTCAGTGCAGGACGTGAAGTAATTTGTGGGGGATGTTGCCGGGAAATTCACTGATGGGGAGCAGCAGTACAAACAAAACAAAATATAGTCATTTGAAATATGCTGCAAATTAAAGTTTTTGTTAAGCAAGAGAGCCATAAAAATAGGGTTTTCCGAGAGTGCATGGTCACGAGCAAGCGGATGTCACCTGTGGGAAAATAAGTTCTCAAATGAGGCGAAATCAAACTACACACGTCCAGGGCAGCGAGGACTGGAGCCCAGATGTGACTTCTGTTGGTCTGGTCCCCGTTTCTATCACTAAGCGAGTTCCTGCTCAGCGTTAGGTGAGGGCGGCTACTGAGCAGAAGTGTGACAGCGACGGTGGGGGCTCATCCTGTTGGAGGGTTAGCTGGCCTCTCAGGGGTTCTCCACACAACTGGGCCCTAACCTCCATCCTGGGCACCCAGGCCTCCTGAGACAGCGATCTTCCTTCCTCAGACAAAACAGCAAAAACTAAGACAATGGCGAGAGCTCATCTCTGCATCATCTGTGCTTGGTCCGTGCGTGTCACACACAGCGTGGGCACCACCACAGGCTGTGCCCTGAGCACTGAGTCACGGGGAGATCCGATTGTGGGCAGCACCGGGCACTCCCCCGCCAGCCCACGGCCCAGCACGCACGTAGGCCTGTGAGGAGCCGCGGGCCATGGTGCTGAGCAGTGCGGGCAGCTGTGCATGAGGGCACATACTTGTGTGTCTACACGTACAAAAGGCGCAGTGAAATCATGCTACAAAAATGAGCAGTGGGACGCTCGCAGAGGGCACTGACGTACATGGAGCTGGTGGGCCTGGAGGCTGCTCTGGTGAGTCAGTGAGGAATGGCGAGCGGCCAGGAGGAGTAGGGCATGGCTGTGCGCACTGTAGAATTTACAATGCGGATCCGGAGCGTCACCGCACACACACGTGATGCGTTGCTGCGAGACGTTGCTCTGAGGGCTACCATGTCCCTAGGTCCTAGGAATTTCTCAGGTCCATGAGAGCGCATGGGGCCAACTGGACAGTGTGCGGTCTGACGTTGACTGAAGCCGTGTTGTGCGCACATTGCTGTACATTATTGCTACTTGCTGATATACTTTTTAAAGGTGATGGCCAAGAGGAAAACTAAAGCAATCGAATTCCTGGCTGTGTCTTTCGGGATTTCTGGAATTACATCTATTGCATGGCGCAGTGAGATAACTTAGAACCTGCATTTCCATTAAACTGTTCTTTCCGGTTCTCGTTTAGTTGATTTGCGGAACTCCTGTGAGCATCTGGAGACAGGATCTGTATCCCTAAGACATGAGTAAAGAGGTCAATCCTTTTGCTTCTCACTGAGGAGCATTAGGGGTTTCTTATATAAATGTTCCTCTGTGGAATAGGTCCTCTGCTGCTAGCACATCTGTTTAAAAGGTATTGTACATTGTCCGGCCAGCGTGGCTCAGTGGTTGAGCATCAACCTATGAACCAGGAGGTAATGGATGGATTCCCGTTCAGGGCACATGCCCAGGTTGCAGGCTCGATCCCCAGTGTGGGGCCTGCCAATCCATGATCCTCTTTCATCATTGATGTTTCTATCACTCTCTTCTTTCTTCTCTGAAATCAAGAAAAATATATTTAAAAAAAGAATAATAAAAACGCACACATAAAAACAATCATACATAGAACAGAAATAGCACGGCGCCCCGCGTGGCCGGCGATGTGAGCTGTGACAGACAGCGGGCTCTCTTCTGCTGTCCGCCTGTCCCTGGAACGCTGGCAGCCTGTGTCCTCGGAATTTCACTCTCAGGAGCTTCTTTTTTGCCTCCATTTTCTTTTTCTCAGGAGGAAAACAGAGAAATATGATTCACCTGGGCGGGCTACTTCCCTCTTTCGACAGAAGCCTCGCCTGCTTGAGGGAACTGGCACGGAATAGACTGGAGTTAGGGGCGCACATGGCCCCTCGGAGGTTCGCCACTCGGGTAGGAAGCTTCGGACACACTTGGCGGCAGGAGAGCAAGCACCCGGGAGACAGCACCTGACTTTCTTTCCTTGTGTATGTCCCTCTCCTGGGGGATGGGTGTGGATCTGAGGTGCCAGGGGACAAATCTGTTGTCCTTCTCATCTCTGCCAGCCCCTGGGGAAGTAAGCATTAGTCCAGGCCCTCCTGGTCCAGCTGCTTTCTCAGCCTTTCGGGGAACTTCAGTGAGAAAAAGGTCAAATGGGAAAAGGCGCCTCTGATGAGATGGAAGCTGATTGATCACAGGGAGAAGCGTCCCTCACATCTGCCCAGTCCCCCCCCGCCCCCAGGCTCTGCCCCGTGGGAGAGGCACCCAGCGGCGAGCACGCTTCGGGCTGCTCACCATGTGTTCCTTGAAAATCCAAGTTGTGTGAAACGGACAGCACTTCGTTTCACCCGGATGAGGAAGCCATGTGAGCAAAGGCCCGTCTGGTTCTGACGGGTTTGCCTAAGTGAACTTCTCATGACGGCACCAAGGGTGTTTGAGGACCTCAAGCCGTGACCCGCCTCCGGAGCCCGAGCTCAGCAGTCCTGCCAGGTGCACACGTGGTCCCAGGACATTACCGTAAAGTCCAGGGGCCTGCTCGCTCTGCACTGGGATGTGGAGCCGGCAGCTTATACTTTTAACCGTTCTGAGTTTTAGCCTTTAATCATCTATTTTTATTTTTTTTCTGTTCTAAGCTCTAGTGTGAGGCTCTTAATGGTCCTTCCGTTTGAATGACTTTGCAGGACTGTTTTTCCTAATATGCTCTGTGTATTCACGTACACAGGACAGATCACGCCCACGAGTGTGAATATAGTAAACCTGGAAAGTGGGTCTGTGTTCACATGTCGACAGAGCAGCCGC